ATAAACGGCTTAAGTTCGTGACCGAAGTCTTGAAAATTAACCTTGAAAATGCTGAGTAGCTTAGTCTTTACTATATACCGAAAATGGAGCAATTTTTTAAACTCAGCCATAATCTGTGAAAAAGGAGACAGGTCAAGTAGTTCGAAGGTTCTATTTTGAAAAATTTTTGAATGCTTTCTTCTTTGAAAGCGCTCTTTCTTTTAAATTGTTCCTTTACGTTTCAACACCAGTCTCAGGAGTTCATCAGCTCTAGCTTTGTTTTACCTTTCTGCTGTCGAGGTAATTAACTTCTTATTTGAATATACTTACTTAAAATAAGTCCACTCTAAATCTTTCGGCTATCATTAAAAAGAGTACCCTTGAATGACAATTTTCCACCCTCCCCTACCTTATTCGTAAAACAAAAGCTTATATGATCTCAAAATTAAATATTTTCGATCATTCTTCTTTTCTGGTATCTTAAACACACTAAGTAACGCTTCAAGTATTTCGTAACGCCTATGAGCTAGTCCACTGCTTTTAACTTAGAGAGTACTGAAATGATTTCAAGACTTGAAAGTCTTTGATATAACGGCTGAAGCGCTGTTTTTGGTCAATAAATTTTTCTTTTTTCTTTTCTCTCTTTTATATTTTTCATTTTTTCCCCTAAGTATTCAATATCATTTCGTGACAGTCCATCTTTGCTTGGCATCATTACAGACAATCAACTTCTTCGTTAAATATTCTTACTGAAACAGCTAGAAATCCTTTGTCTCTTTCTGCTATCTCTGAAAATGGTTCGCTGTGCGCGCAGTTCGTTTCAACCTTCCATACCTTACACAAAAAATGATAGCTATCGCCTAATCAAGAGAAAATGATAGTCCCAATATTTTCTTTAGACCTAATGTCATATGGTTCGACCGTTCTTGCATTCCTGGTATTTGTATTAATTTTTGATCCAGTGTTTGGCGGCTTTCCGAATTGCCTTGATTTAGAGAAAGGCCGGAAACTGCTAAATGCTGCTTAGAATTATTAGGGAGATTAAAGTGTCTAGCGACTGGTTTGGATGCGTCCTTGTCATTTCTCTCCAAGACGCGAAGGTGTTCTAATACTGAAAACTTCGCAACGACGAAACTATTGATTGAGAGAATTAAGATATTAAATGAATAAAAGTTCCATCGATTAATTCAGCAGCAAAAAAATATCTCACAGTCTTAACTTTCTGAGTTACCTTTTAGGAATAAAGTTAATTGAAAACTGTTTTCAGGCCGCTTGTCAACCCATTTCAGAATGACACATTTGCTACCACAACTTTATTTCGAAAACAAATTTCTACTGGTAACCAAAGAGACTTAAGATTGAGGGAAGAGACGATTAATAAGTTATCATTCGGCTTGATTTACTTGAAAATAAGGCCCAGCCGGAAAAACAAAATTTATCTCTATAAGAAGAATGGCAGCGAAGCTAGGGATGTTCTCAGTGACCAACGCAAGCGTTACCGTGCCCGTGGGCAGAGGTAGGAAAATGCGGACCGCGCTA